TTTTTAAGTCCTTAACTCTAAACACTGTTATTGACTGTTCTGTACACTGTAAAAATAAGTCATTGTTTTTGTAACCTCCTACTAAAATGATATCGGAAATTTAAATTTACATCTTAATTAACTTTCTTTGGCTCTATGTTTAGATTTGTTCAACAGTATTCGTTATCATCAGAAGCATTACCAATTGATGGAAAGCATCCTTGTAGAAGGTCACCAGCTATAACAATATAGATAATACAGGTGCTAAAAAGTTCAGTTAACTGTGCCACCAACACAAAACGCCCAGTTCCAGGTAAATAAGCGTCTGCTACTTCTTTATAACTTTGCCGTACCTAAACTATGATATACAGTTTCAAAAGCAAACAAAATAATTAGCGTACAGTAAGATTACTGATAAAGAAGAAAATGAATGATTGCTGTGGAATTTGTACAAACGTATTTTTTGTTTTCAATAAAATATTCTTTGCATATGAGTAGGAACTAATGTGCAGTTTGGTGCTTTCTTCAAGAAATGAACTCAACAGTTATGGTTTAAGTAAAGTAGTAGTTTTTTTTTTCTTTTTTTTGATTTTATTTTTTCAATACAGAAAAAAAATACAGTTTAGAGATTCTTAGAATAACCTTCATGCCACCTTCGTAAAGACATTCGATAAGCAAAACCCCGGTACAGTAACACAGGTATGCAACGCCACATAAGGCAGCTATAGTCCACCATCCTCCAACCTAAAAAATATCAATATTTGTTCCACAGCTATGAATTACAATCAAAAAATCTTAACTGAACATCGTATACTGTTCAAAGCATCAAAAGGATTGCAGCATTGGTCTTAAAGATTTTTTTTTTTAATACTGTTGTTTCAGCATTATCAATGCTTAAACTGATTGTATTCTGAACATATAAATTTTGATTCTATATAGCAGAGGATAGTTAGCGGTAAGTGCTTTATTCTGAATGATATTTTGTCTACTTACTTGCAAACAAAAACTAGAATTGAATTTAAAAATGTTTAAAAAATATAAGTTTTGTTCATTAAACCACAAAAAAAAAAGAAAAAAGTGAAAAAAAATTTTATAAAGATAGCAGAATTTACTAAAACAAATAGTGTTTCTTTTTGTTGGTTTTGTTTAGCGGTATGCCAGAATTTATAATAAACGTCTTTTTTTTTTTTGCAATAGATAATCTTAACAAAGTTATAATTTATGATAATTATAGAGTCAGATAAATAAACGATATTTTCAGTGCATTGTAAAGGTGATATTTTTGAGTTATACAAAAACTATGCATTCAGTTGCATAACATTTCTAGCCTTTTTTTACTTGCTAAACCTACGATGGTTCTATTATATTGCTGTTTAGACAGCCACTTTTTTGTTTTTGATGCTTTTTTTCTGCCAGTTGAATTCTGAACAAAAGTGATTGGCTAAAACCAACAAAATTTTTTCAGATAAACTATTGAACCTCTCGCAAAGAAAGAAAGACTGCAAAGAGAGAAGTGATGAATTTTTGACGGATATCAGACGGTACCCTTAAGTGACCAATGATTAATGATAGAGCTGATAAATAGACACTGATATCCGATATCAGATATTAGCTTTGAATCCCGATGATTATCTGTTCAACACAAAAAAAACCATATTATTACAATAAATCATTAATCCAAAACAGATATTACAAATTAAAAAAAAAAGTCTGCAGACGTTATATTAAAACGTTATTTTTGACTTAATTCAGCAACAGTAACACCAATACTTCGACCGATAGTATCCGATTGATTCTTTGATAATTTTTCCTATTAAAAAAATGATGAAAATGTGAAATTATATTTTTAATTATTATGCGCAATTTTC